CCCGGCGTGTGCTGCTCGGGCCTCGGAAGTAATGGGCGCAGGAGGGGTGACTTTGGCGGTGAACTGACCCACGATTCGCTTCCCCGCCCCCGCCCCCTTTCAATTTAGGTGGCGTTCTGCTTCTAGGTCCTTAATTCCTGATCCCCATATGTACTCGTGTGCGTGAGTAGCGCTTGCAAGATCAGGACAACACCGGTACATAACCAGGCACTGCTTTAACACTGCTTAGGTTACTAAGGGGTTACTTTCACGCTCTCACGTGCGAGTTTCTTCATCAGTAGAAAGTTTTTCAGTTAAAAAGAAGAGTTTTCACAGAAGCAAATAGCATACCTGGTTTTTTGCAATACTGACGGAGAAAAAAATGATGCTGTCACTTCTTGTGCCTTGATGGATTTTATAGTTATGCACACCTCAGAAAACTGAGTTACATTGAGCCAGCGGTAGTGTTGCATGGTTGGAAATACGTAACAAATTGCTGGGTCAGGAGATTTTTACACAGGCAATGTTGTCATTGGTATATTGTTTGAGACTTTTCCAAATTGTTGTCAGCCAAGCATTTTAGAAAAAAAGTATTTGTAAGTACTTAAAATGGCCAGAGGTGTTTTTCCATTCATCAAAGACAGTTATATACCCTTGTGAGTGTACTTAACAGTCTATGTTACTTGTAATTTAAAAACACTTATAAGTAAACTTGAAACTCTGAATTCCTGCTTATAATTATATCTGTTCTGTCAGATGCCACTTTCAGCATTCCTGATTCTTTCATATGTGGATGCTACTCACAAAGGAGTAAACTGTGATGAAAGTAAAATGTTATACTGTTCAGTGGAGACTTAAGTTGTGTGTAATTTTACTATATTATCCAGCACAGTAATATTCAGTTTCTAACATACAACTTTATGTTGCATATTTGGTATGAAACAATAAAAATTTTATCATTTTATAATTAGGCTAGTAAAGTGTCCTGCTAGAATTATTGCGTAACACTTAATTGTAATAAACTTAAGTTTCTCATGCATTATATTTGATTGCATTTCATAAATGGGTTGTAACAACTCTTTTTTTTTTTTTTTTTTGACCAAATTATGCCTGCATTTTTTATTTTATCTTTTGGACAAAACCACTGACTTTTTTCTCCTAAGAAAAAAATAATTTCTGTCAACTGTGGATGATTACGGGCTGCTAGGTTTGAGAAACAAGACAAAACACGCACACTCATGCAGAAAAGTTTGAATCTTACTCATCCTGCATTGCAGTGTAAGATTCAGAGGAAGAGTGCAAAAGGAAAAAAGTAACCGCTGTTTGAAGTGGTTAGTGTGCCTACGTACTCACTGGCATGTCACAACTACCATTAATGTGCAGCCAGCAACTGCGAAGCTGCTGGGTCAATTATAGTGTAGAGTAGCTGGAAAGGAGGAGACGTGGGTACATTCTAGTTTTGCAATGGCTGCTTTGACTATTTCTGATTACACTTTCTACCTTTGCTGCGCTTGTGCTTTCGTGGTAAGAATATGTGCCTTACTTGAGGATTGTATAGTCAAAGGATCTTTCCTTCTGGTCTTTCTGGTCTTTGTGCATAGGGAGGGGTATAGGGAAAGGATGAACATAAAATATTTTTTGTTTTGCATGATAATGATTCAAGAGTTGACAATCAAAACCTTCATCTTACATTTCTGCAGTAATTTTCTTTGTTCTAATGAAAGTTGCAAATCAGGGAAGTCCCAGTGTGACTAAAAGTGTTATTCTACTTCTGTAGCTATTTTCAGTCAAACTCATCTAGTTCTCCGTAGTTTGGACTTTCCTGGATTAATTTTTGTGTGTGAATGGGTATTCCAGTTAGTTCCTTAAATGAACATTTTCTTGTTGACCTCTCCAGATGTGCATCTGTCTACTGAAAAGCTTCAGTAAGCAGTACTTCATTAATAGCGTAGATAGCTCGTAAATCTGTTTCAATGGTATGTGCTGCATAAAAAAACCTCACTTAGTCTGTCCTGTGTAGTACCTATTGGAATATTCAGATTATTGAATTTTTGCTCACACATTTGCACACTATTGATTATTGAAATTACTATGTTCATATGTCACCATCACTCTTCAATATGTGGTTACCCACCTGCTTTCAATATGCTGTTTGGTGGAATGTTTGAGTATGTTTATAATAAATTAGAGGTTTCATAATGTTTTATTAACAGACAGAAGACGATATACATGTTGGAAAACTGGAAGTCGTTGATCACTTCGTCAAGGAAATAAATCTGAATGAATCAAATCATGAGCAGAAGAAAGTAAATAGCAGGCATCAGGTCACATCAGACAAGTTTTCATCTCTACTAGTGTCAGTAGGCAGTGCTGAGGTAGTGTACAGTTCAGAAGCAAAACAAAATTCTTTCTAGTTTAGGACATCTTAGGTAGAGTGGCCTTAGGTTTTTCCGCAGCGTGCCGAACGAGTGATCAGGCTATCAGACTTCCATGGCCCACTGACCCCTATTTATGTCTGTCAACATAATATCCATCCTATACACAGCATGTGGGCTATCCATGGCTACTGCTTTCTGCCTACTAAAAGCATTTAAGTTAAATGGGTTTTTGTGTGCTTCTACAAACTATTTTGTTTTTCTTATTTTGCTCCTGATAGAACACTACAATTTAGTTGTGAGCAAGACCACGTGAAAATGGAGTGATCTTGATTACCAGGGTAACTAGACTAAGCTTGGAAAACAGGGTGCTGTGTTTCCATAGCTGGGACTAAAAATTTTGGTACTATTGTATGTAACTGGGGAGAGGATTTGTCATCAGAATTGGTGTATTAATTCTGTTGTGGAACTGATTTAGGAACTGTCCTCAGAATCAACCTGTACAGGCCTTGAAAATCAGGATGAAAGATTATTACTAAATGGTATATTTAATGAGGAGGAATCGACAAAGTCTTTTCAGGAGGCTTTGATTCAGTGGAGAAAAGGTAATTGTGATCACAGAGAAGAACTGCATGCCAGTGAGGTCCTATCAGGTATGAATATTTCTGTTTTAATTGCGTTTTACAAACATTAGGAGTCGTTTTGGTGACTTAGCAGATTTTTGATTAGTCAAGGTAGATATTCTATTAGAATAGTAAATGTCTCCTCTTAAGTTTTCTGTCCCTTTTATATGTTAACAACAATCTCTGAAGTTTTTTTTAATAACCTGCAGATTAGTGTTTTATCCCAATTCTTGTAACAAACTGTGATCTTGGCCACATTGTTCAGCTTGTGTCCCTGTATTTTTCTGTCCCATGTTTCCTACATGGGACTTTCATATGAATAGTAATACCAAAGCATAGAGTCACAGCTTTTACCTGAGACAAGGAACATGCATGACTCAGGATTTTGTATGTTGTATAAAAGTACATTTTCTGTTTGCCTTTCACAGGCTCTAAATATTTCTTTGTCCCAGTGAAAAGATGCAATCAATTGAAGGTGTGCATAGAAAAATACAAAAAAACCTTTTGTCTGGTTGGATTTGTGCAAACTAGTTTCTTTCCTTTAGTCCATGGATGGTGGTCATTCTTAGTGTATTTTTGTACAGAAAATATTATACCCAGTTCTTTTCTTTTTTTTTTTTTTCTTCTTTCCTGTAAAATGGTGGGGTTTACATATGTAGAGTCATGGATTACCCCGTGCTTCCCCCCAGCCCCCAGCATTGTAGTAGTCTTCCTTTATGTGACAATCTGTAATAAACAAGATTTTACTGGCTACCTCCATGGCTGATTGTGTTATGTAAATGTAATACTGCTGGCCATTTAAATTTTGGAATTATGCGAATACTTAGCCAGGCATAGACTGCTAATGTGACATTCATTCAAAAATAATGTCATTAAATAGCAAGTTTGTAAATCTGAATAGCTGTATAAATTGTTTTTTTATAATTCTAATAGAATCTGTGGGAATTTGTGAGGTACAGACCAATCTTACTGTTATGAAGGAACCTATCCACATTGAATTCAAGAAGGATGGCATGAGCTACATGGAGAAACTCTTGCTTAAGAAATACAGAAGGTATTGAAGTTACTGGTACTAATGAAAGAAGTCAGAACAACTTAATAGCATTAACAAAAAGTCCATTGAAACTTTTTTAATATTAGATGTATTATCAAGGGTTAAGGTGACTGTATACAGAGTGCTTTATTTTAATAAAGTAACCACTATGACTGGACTTGATGACTTAATATTTCAGGATTACTGCAGAGAGAGTATTTGGAGGGATTCTCTTTGCTATCAGTTTTTTGTAGTATTTGAAGACTGGTAGTGATACTTGGCTGCTCGATTTTGGGGCATTTTCTACAGGAGCTTGATAGAGAAAAGCAAGTATGGTCTTCAGGGTACTTTTATGAACATGATAGGGTTGTTTTGTAAGTCCATGAGGCGTGAGGTCATCTCAATTAAATTATGAAGAGTTGGTGCTTTCCAGCAGCAGTTAATACTGTTAATACAAAACACTGTGGTGTTTTGTTTTTTTTTTCTTTAAATGACTGTGATATTATACATAAAAAAATGATGACTTTTTAAGGTTGGTTTCTCTTCCTTTTTTAGAACTCCTGTTGATCAAATTTCTGGTAGTTGTGTTAAACATTTAAGGCCTGTGCAAACCCTGAGTGTACATCAGGATGTGACTGGAGAAGGGGGAGAAGGAGATGATGATGTCGATGACTTAACAGGTGTAATAGATTTCTGTTTATTGAATCTAACTTAAATACTTTTTCTTGGGATTTTTTTTTTTTTTGCTATGATTGCTGAACAGTTACATACTTAAGCAGTTTGTGCTTAAAGAAAGTAACAATAATGAAAGGAGAAATTTATGGTACTTCATAATAAATAAAAAGTTTGCATTTGCGTGAGTCTTGAACAGGAAAAAATGAAATGCATCAAATTAACTATCTTTTGTAGTTGAAGAGGTGAAGAGATATTGGACATCTGTTTTTAGAGAGACAGTACTCAACAGTATTTCTGAAAGTGCAGAGTCCTCTCTGAAAATTGAGTTTCTTGATGATGTAAGTATGTAATAAAGGACTTAATGAATCTTCGCAGTGATCCTAAGTGATTTGTTTAAATGTTGATCTGTTAAATAATTTAAGGTAGCAACAGCTAAATGATTTCTAATTAAAACATGGTGCATTTTAATTTTTTTTCCATACAGAAGTAGAAAATTTAGGTTTCCAAAGTTTCCCTGTAATTTTTTTCTTATTGTGTCCAGGGACCCTTACTATACAGAAATCATACAAAAATAAAATCTACAGGCTTTTAATCAAATGAGTTAAGTTTTGTTTGGTGTTTTTTTTTTTTTTTATAATCTGCTGCTGAATATGGTTTTGTTTTGTTTTTTAATTAGTCTTATGGCAACAACTTGGAAGAATCATCTAACTTTTTGGTGATGGAAGCTGGAGCTGTAGGAATGAGTAAGCAAGGAAAAGCTGAACCACTGAAGCAGTTTGGAAGGTATCAGAAAAGCCGAGATTATTTGGAAGAGCAAAAGGAATAATGCTATCTTCTGACTTAGTTACATTCCTAAATAACAGGCACTTTTATTTGCAGACATTCGTAGTTCAGATGGATGGGGAGAACCCTTGATTGTAAATTGTTTTAAGGCACATTTAAGATACACATCTTCTCATCCTTGGTACAAGACGTAGACTGTGCCAACATCATGACACTTAGTTACTGCTTTCCCTTCCTTTACATTTCTTCCAAAATCCTGCCTGTGATTGCTGTTTTTGTGCTTGAAAGTTTTCATTTGAATGACCTGATGATTTGATGATTAATTTGTAAGTCATTCTAAGAACAGTTTGGCAGCTAACAGGCATATGATATGTTTACTATTAAAGTTAGTGAATAGTAAGTTTGGGTGTTTGACTTTGTTAGTGAGCCACCAAGGTATATTAATTGCCTGTAACTGGAGAGACATCACTTTGAAATGTCTTTATTTTGTTTGCTTAGTCACTGCAATGATAATCATGTAAGATACATTTCTCCAGATGTATATGTCCTGAATTACAGATAGAATTTCTCTTTTGTATGCTTTTATCTCAATAGGAGCAGGGACTAGCATACAGACAAGTCTGTAAAGGGTCAGTGTTGTGTACTTTTCAGATACTCTCACTTGACTAATCTTATAATTCCAAGCAAAACTAGGGAGTCCTAATAATTAATTATACATGTGCAATTCTTCTGATCTTCCAAAATTTACTTGTGATTAGATGTGACCTGTTTTTGTTATATTGTATTCTTCTGGTCTTTCCTCCTTCCTCTGTTTCAAATTTTTGGTTGCAGATCAGAATGACACAGTACCAGACCTTTTGCCAAGAGAAAACATAGGCATAATGTGAAAGTTCATCTTGTCATTCAACTTCCACTGCTGACACTCAATATTTTTAACCTTTTCCTTTTGACAGAAATCCTGTTTCTTCTAAAGAAATTTCTCAAGGTAAATTTTGAAAGTTATTTGTACAATATACGTAAGTGTATACAGTTTTATCATTCTCATATAGGATGTGGTAGTCAACTACGACGGTTGTCTGAAAAAAATAAAGATAGTTAAATTATGTACCATTCCCTGAGCTATGCAGGTCCCTTGACCACAATTTGATGGGCTGTCCAAGCCATTTTGAAATGATAGGCATCTGCTGTGACAGTAATCTCACAGCTGTGAGGTCATACTTGAGGGATAGGCTGCTCCAATATGAGTTGTATACTGAAAACAAATCCATTCTAAAGCAGATGGAGTGATCCTACAAATCTCTCAGTTTATCTGAACTGTATTAGATTTAATGTATGGCACGTGTCCTTTCTGTGTAGGAGAATGCTTTTATATAGATAGGTTGAGAAACCATATAAATGATTACCTGTTTTGCATGGAAGATCATCATTTGTCTAGAAATATTCCAGTGCCTGTTGCATGTCAGTGAAATTACAGCTTTATTTAGTGGCACTCTAAGGGGTCCCAAAGATCTTACTCTGTGTCCTGAAACTATGTAAAAAGTATTGTCACTTTTTTAATATTAAGAAATGAGTTGGAATGTAAGGATACTTAATTTCTTGTTCTTCCAAGTACCAAACAATTGCTTTAGCTCTTCAGAACCTAGCACTTGTTTCCTTTGTGCTTAGTTCAAGTCATCAAATGTGAAAAAGCAAACAAGAGCTGACTAATGAGATGTGATTTATGTGCTTCTTTGGCACAGGATAAGCAGCAAAATGGCTATGTCTTGTATAAAGAAAGAAAAACAGCTTGCAGAATCATTCGCAGCCTGATAGTGTGTATTTCAAACCATTGTACTACTTTTAAGGAAATTTTATGGAATTGCTACTATTGCAGTTCCTACCCCGGCACTGGTTAGATTACAGCATTCTAAATGTAAAAAAATTACATTAGCATGAAGTAGTAAGTTAAGAAGCATTAAGATTATTACCAAAATCTAACGTTTTCATAGACAATGATGTACAGGAACGTATGCATTAGATACAGAACTGGTACTACTAAGTGGTAAGTCTAGTCCATGTATGTTGGCATCTCTGGATATCAGGCAGGAAGCTGATGAAAGTTAACTGTTCCTCTTTGTAATTCTGTGGATTAGGGATAACTTCAATGGAGGTTTCATATTTTAAGTTCATGAAGAAAATATAAAAGGCTTGTAGGTTATAATTCATATTAATTGCCATAAAAAATAATTCCTATTTACATTATTTTTTTGTACTCTTGTAGAAAACATGGTTGTCTGCAGTCTTGAAAGACATGCCGTGCAAAAGGAGAGTATTAAACTAAAGACTATGAGATCACTTAACTCCTGTAAACTACCTGAGAAGATTTCTAACCCTACTGAACTAATGAGCAATGAATATCTCCTTGAGACACAACTGCAGCAAACCAGTAAAGATTCACAAGAACTGGACAGTGTCTGCAATAGCCAGAATTTGGTTTTGCCTGTAATTACAAAGACTTCAGTGGTAAAATATTTTGTCTTTGATTGCTAAATACATAAACTAAATTGCTGAATCTGCTTTCCCAGTTTAGCATGAGGCAACATGCCATGTTGCCGAATCAGTTGAGAGATAGTGATAGTTGTATGGTTACTGTGAAATACTCTACCTCTTTTCACCATTCTCCTCCAGACCCGCCCCGCCCAAGCAATAAAGAGTGTAGTTTTAATCAGAGGATTATCACTGCCTATCATATTTCATCTGTAGGGGATGAAGGCCTCTGTACTTTCCAATTTGTATTGTCAGTCTTCTCTTGATATTCAAAAAATGCAAAGGAAAGAACAGACTTGTCTCAGACAAAAAAAAAAAAAAAGGAGAAGGCATCTCTGCTCATGTTAGTGTCAAGGACAGTTCACCTCTTGGCTGAATGCCAAAAATTGTAGATAGTCTTACCTAACCCCAATTACTCAAATGTTCTTTTGCTGAATATCAGATTGATAGCAAAAATATCATGGAGCATGTGGGGACATTAGATTTGGAGTCATTGTTAAACAGTATTACTTCAGTTGATGTATTCAAAGATAAGTGAAAACAAACAAAGGAAAAAAACTGCTTTTCATGTCCGCATACAATCAGTGGAGAATAGACTCAAACTCTCACAACATTAGCAATGGAAGTTTATAGGATTTTAAAGCATATATCGTACAAAACCATCATCCTTACTAATATCTATTATACCAGGCTATCAGAATAATTTTGTGAAATGAGCATTTTATTAATATAAACTTGCAAGGGCAACTTACAAAGTTTCTTGTTTCTTTTCCTGTTTCTATTAGAAGAAATTATTATTAGAAAATAATTGCTATTATTTGTGTTTTGTTCAAGTTACAGGATGTAGCCAAAAGACAGAAATCTGTTTCTACACGATATCGGGGACTTGAAGGTTTCTTTGTTGTAGGTGCAAACCCTGAACAAGTAATGCCCGACGCAAGTTCTTCACTGTGTGCTGACTCTAGCCCTATGGACAGTAGTATCCTGTTTCCAGGTAATGGCGTATGAATAAAATTCTCAAACAATATACATATGTATCACTGTTGCTGTAACATATCCTTCTCTTTATGTAAAGTGGCTGTAGCTTAGTTTTAGAAGTCACTTTGGGGTAGCAGTCATGCCAACACACACAACTGATTACATGGAAGGATAAAATAAACTTACTATCTCGAGGTAAATTACGTCAATATAGTGCCATAGATTTATATGCTTCTTTATATCCCCTGAGAAGTTGGTTTCAGTAGGAATTCTTCTTTTCTTTGTGCATAATATACATCACAAAAAAATGCTCTTAATGGCCTATATGAAACAACATGTGAAATGATTGGTGAACGTGAATATTAATACCATCAAGTATATCACTTGAATTTAAGCTTGTTAGTGTGTTATATATGTTTAGATTTTTTACATCATCTGTGGAAAAGTTGTTGCATGATTTCTTTAAATGACACACATTAAATGCAGCTAATATAGTAAATACATATTAACACAAAACCTGCAAGTAATTTCCTGTAATACTTTTTAATTTCAGAAGATGGCAAATGGGTTACTGAAAGGAGCTTAAGTGAATACGCTGATGACTCAGTAGTTCAAGGTGTCTTAGGAAGTCGGTTGCATAGACCTTCAAGTGGTTTGGAGACTCAGAATAGAATTTCTCCTCTGATGGTAGCGTGGAGGTCATACCCAGGTAAGGATAGCAACAGCTTTGAGGTTCTACTTTAGCAGATTAATTTTTCTTATGTAAAAAGTAGAAGTGCTGTCTGTGATGATTCTGTTGAATTCAGGTAATTTTTATATCTTCATCTATGTATTTGTATTTTGGGTGTAATGGCTTATACGCATGTCATTGTTTTCATAAGAATGGGCTTCTGAGTTAGTAATTACCTCTTTCCAGCCGTCACTAATAATTCTTTTTATTGTGCTTAGTTCTTACTTCTGCCTCTACCCCATAACTCCCCTCTTAGCTTGAATTATTTAGATAATAAGCTGTCTAGAACAAGATTATGTATTACTGTATTTTGCAGCATCTAGTAAAATATGGTTTTGATCTAATAAAAGATTTCTTCATGGTACTGAAATAAGTCTTACTAAATGAACTATAAGAAACAAGTAAACAAGTAATGCATAACTGCATCTGCACTGTTTAGTTAGTTTTCTCAATTTCAACTGTCTCCATCTCAAGGAATGTAGCTTACATTATTTCTCTCATCTTAAGCAACCAGTTTGGCATTTTAATTTTAAAAAGCCATACATGTGGAAATTGAAACCATCAATTTTAAATCCCAGAAAAATAGCTGAAAGTGTCTATATTTTATTCATGTTGCCTTAAATTAAAAAAAGACAGAACCGAAGTTTTAAGCTTTCTACACAAATTCGCAGTCTGTGCCCTCACCCAAAATTTGTGCCATTGTACATAAAAAAATACTGGATTTAAATATTCTGAAAGATACTCATGTAGTATGAGCTCCTATTTCTCAGTATAATTGTATACTCTTTATTAACATTTATTAATTCACAATCTTAATCTGTTCAGATCAATTCATAATTTGAACTATAATTAATGTCATTAATGAGCTGAGATAAAATTCTCTTTATGTGTGAAATCTTGAATTACTAGAAGTTGTGACCATTGTCTGTTATTTCAGGGAATGATTCTAGAAGACCTTGGTCAACAAATATGCTACACTGTAAACTGACTGGAAATTGTCCAACAAACACACAGCCAAGACCAAAGACTTCACCTATGCATATGTTTAGAGTTGATACTGAGATATCAAAACACAAGTGCTTTGATGTAACTAGGCAAGATGAGTATCTTTGGGAATATATTGCTGACCAAGAAGCCCTACTGACTCTGGAAAAAGAATTACAAAGTTATACAGGTAAGTGGCAATACTGTTTTTGTTTTTTTTTTTTTTTCTTCATGCTTACAAGCAACATAATGAAAACAAGTAGCTATTTCATTTGCCTTCTCAGGGATAACTAATTTTGATGCAAAAATGTATTAAACTATTTGATGATGCAAGACACTTTTGTGGTTGAACTGTGATTTATTTTCATTTGATCATACTTCAGCCTACCCTTAATATAGTAGAAGCAACCTGTTTCATGCAACTTTCTTAATTTTTTTATCTCTTGCATTTTGTTGCAGAAATCTGCATCATGGCCTAGGTATTATTTTAGATCATAAATTCCTGTTAAATAGGTAACTTTTCCTTGGATATTTAATAATGAAGACCCCAGGTGTTGTTAGAAGCTAGATGTGATTTGATGCGAGGGTAGCAAGAAGGGGAAGAGATGGACAGGAAGTTTTATAAATCCATCCTGATGAGAACTGTCACTAATAAGGCACAACAGATACGGTATTTTCTCTGATTTTGGGTTTGACTCAACCCCCTTTTCCTCTGTCTTTTTAAACCCATGTTCTTGTTTTTCGAGGGTAGGGGAGGTGGCAGGCAGGCAAGGTCAGTTGGTTATGGTTGAATAGAATGAGTGAGTTCTGGGTTTGTTCTTTGAATACAGGAGAAAAAAAAAATACACTGGGATGCTTCTGTTCCATCTCAGTGAGGAGATAGGTCAAAATGCCTGAGACACTTCCTCCCATAAAGCAACCTTCATGGACTGCATCTCTTAGGCTGTAACATGGTCCTTCTCTTCTGAGTTGCTGTTGTGCTTTTATATTGGCAGGTGCTGGGTCCTGGCTGTGATGCATCTTCAGTAAACACAAGCAGTCTGGATTCCAGACTGTTCTATATTTTAAAATGTTTTTACCTTAGATTTTGCTGTATTTTTTCACACAGCTCTTCTGAGGCTTCCAAATACCACATTTCATGACAGCTGTCCTTCCGTTTTTCATACGTACTCAACAGAACACATGTGTTTTTGGAAGTTTCTCTTGCTAATGCTTTTGAAGAATACACATTCGTGCTGAATATACTCAGAGAAGAAGAGGAGGGCAGTTATTGTTCAGCTGTCTCATTCTTTGTCTCCCTTTTTCATTCCACTTTCTTGGAATACTTTTCACTTATTTATAAATCTGTGGCAGAGACTTATGGCTAGCTGGGAATAGTAACATACTTGCATGTGTGTTGTATGAGAAGCATAGACTGTGATCCCAGTTGATCATCTTTTTGTATTGGTGGATGTGGGATATATCCTGTTACTCTGTTTTAAGTACGTACTACCATTAGTCAGCTACCCAAGTTCTACATTTGCTACTGTATTTTGAGGTCACATAGGTATTAGCGGGCCCTTTATACAAGGTTTCATATTGTGCTGGCATAAACATCTTAGAAGCGAACCCTCTCCATTACTTCTAATGATACAGGAATGATATAATAATTTATGTGAGGGCTTGTAGTGAAATCCTTCATCAGCTAGAGTTGTTTTGAGACTTCTAATGGCAAGTTTTTATTGATACTGTGAAACTCTTTAAAGTTGATAGTGTAGATACTACATTTTTTTGATTATGTTTGTTCCTGAAATGACCTAAAATATTTCAGGTCCTGAAAAATGTTACAGCTTAACTTCTGAAGATGTAAGGTCCTCCAGCAGGCACTCAGAGAAGATATGTAGAAATACTGCAGATTTCCATAAAAACCAGGAGCTAAAAGACCACGGCAGAGTTGATACTCTCAGGTAAGTTAAACTTGCTGAGTATGTTTTTAGGATATTGTAAAATGCTCAATATGCCAAACATCTTGCCAGAACTGAACTAAAGACAGTCTTGACTTTCTGATTGTACTTCAAATGCTTATAAAAAATGTCAGCATGACCCATTTTGTATCTTGGTGTTCTAAGCCAGTACTGTCAGGCAGCTCAGACTAAGAATTAAGTGATGTATTTTATTATTGAGACTCCAAACTGTGAATTTTGGGGTTATGTTTTTTAATGCTTTAGCTTTTGTTAATATACAGCACTGAGATTTATAAAGTATGTCTATTACAAATCATCTAAGTCCTTTGGTTGTAAGGTAGCATTAAAAAGAGCAGTTATGAGCAGGTGAGACAGTAACATTTAACTCACCATAGTCTATAATATATCTGTTATATTGCCTTAGAGGTTGAGGAGATGACTGGAAACAGGGGAGTTCATCAAAGTTCTACCTGTCATTGGTTTCTTACTATGATCTTGTAACTCGTAAGGGTCAGTGAGACACTACAGGCTATGTGAACATAGCTGACGCAGAGATTTGTGGTTGTTCGTTTGTTTTTTTTAATGTCCATAATATTGAAATTGCAAGTCAATAGAAAATGAAGCAGTACTCGCAAATAGTGCAAATAGTATAAATGAGACCCACTGCCCTAGCTTACCTGTTCTAGGATGTGGGATTTCTCTATTTAAGGCACAATAGTGACAATCTTATTTACTTCCTACTTATTTAAGAAGTGAAAATGTATGTGACAAAGATCGATGGGAAAAAATTAAAATAATAGCTTGTATACTTGCAACATACACAGCAGAAGCTATTTTCATGCCTTTTAGTTCTACGTATGTGAACATATGTCCCTAAGGCTTAAAGCAGAGTAGCTTGAGGAATTTGAGCTGCTGAAAATCACTGTAGTATGTTTCTTTTAAGGTGCTGGGATGAAAGCCAAATGGATGAGGAGGAAGAAATTTTGGAGGATAAACAACAGGTTCTTGCATTGCAGTGAATATGCAAGGAACTTAATGCAAAATCTGTCTTTGCCTATCGCACACAACCAAGAAGCAGACGAAGCGGTGTCTTGAGTGCTACTCAACATACTACTTATTAAGGATTATTTTGTAAAACTGTTAATAAAAATTCTTAAAAAACCCTTGATTTTGACTTTTTTTTATTAGTACGAGGAAGCAACAGAATACAAGAAGACTGTCTTGTGCTATTATTTTTTTAGAATTTTTTTATTCTTTAATTTTGGTTCGATATAGGGTTCCTTGCCCGCAGATGGAATTTTATGTCTCCAAAGGCAGTTTTACATTGCCAAGCTGAAAGATAATGTACAAGAGGATATTAATGGAGCGTTCTTAAATTGGGAGTCACAATGTGGCCAAGTTTATATGGTGAGATGCATAGTAGAAAGTGTAATAGGTCTAGTATACTTTACTCCTTATCTTATATTTTTACCACTAAGAGACTTTTACGTTGCAGGATAGAAATTAACTGTTTTACATAATATATTTTACTTCTCCTGCTACACTCCTTTCTTCTTCATTTCAGCAGGTAGCATATACTAGCAGTAAACTTGGCTCCCTCTGCTCAGTGTTGATGGGAAGTCTGTTCTCTTTCTGCACTGTGCTACTTTCACTCTTCCAAAAAGCCAGTTTGGAGCCAACCTCTGTTCAGCATACCAAATTCAGCTGTACTGAAGGTTGCTATCTTACAGGCCTTTTAAGTTTAAGAGAATGAAGGGGAAGTGCAGTTAAAAGGTGTTCTTGGGTGGTTTTGATGTCACCAAACCATTTTAATACCTCTCTCTGGTCATGACAAGGCCTGAACTGTACTTTTGAACTTGCTGCATCCATGTGGTGTAAAAAGGTTTCTTCTCCCTCCTCTTTTCCCCTTCCCAGTTAATGTAAGGTTAAATGCAATTAATCTAACTTCAGTAGAAGGTGACTTGGCTGTCAGGTGCTGATGTACTTTAATGTAAAGGGGCTTTGGTGACTTTCTGCTTCCTTTTTGAGAAGATGCTTAGTTTGTACCCAGGAGTGAGTAGTTTTCTGTGGAGGTGGCAGGAAGTGATAGTTTTGAAATGATCTAAGTGGTGTCTTTTAGTAACTTCTTTAGGATTCTCAGACATAGCAGCATGCTTCAGCTTTCTGAAATTTTTTTTTTCCTTCATCCCTCCTTTCAAAGCATCTTAAAAGCCCCTCCCCACCCTTTGTGCTCAAAAGCATGTAAGCAGTCACAAAGATTTCTGTCTCATTGTGCTGGGAAATTCTGAAAATGGGATTAATTAAAAGCTTTGGTCTGACGATTGTTGTTATCCATTTATGGGTAGATTACCCAACAAGACTCAAATTACTGGTAACTGTTGTTCACAGAAAATACAGAAATGTAAAGCGGGATATAAAGTTTCTATCTTCCATCTATGTTCCACAGTTCTCTTGTAACTGCTTTAAATGAGTTTATAGAAGGTGAAATTCAGAGCACAATGCTGTACATACTTTGACCATGTTATCCATTTTAAATTTAATGAAAGGATTATGTGTCTACTTCAGTCATTTTCCACCAGTGCAACAGTGATCAGTAAGTTACAAAACATCGTATCGGATGCCTTTTAATAAAGGTCATGATTACCATCACTAATATGGTTAATTAGCCGATGCAGCTAGTTTTAAGAAATTAATTTTGTTTATAGCCTCAAATGTTTAAAGATGTCTTTGAGTGCTCATCTTGAAAACCTTCTGATTCTATGTTCAGAGGTGGCAAGTGACCTTCCTTGATGTATCAGTGGAAGCATTCCAATGTATTATTTAAGTTCTGACAATTAAACACATACTCGTCTGCATTCTCCCCATGTCATAGGACTCCAGTGTAGTAAGCATTTGTTGTCTGTCTCCCCGATCAATCATGCACTTCCATTAGACAACATAGACACTAATCTATTCAACAATTTCTTTTACAGGGAAAAGTTCTTCAGTAACCTTAATTCATAACAACTAGAGCCATCGGGCTGAACAGACGGTTGGTTTTATTTCCTGCCTCATTTCTTGTCTTTAAGGAGAGGGCATATTCTCCACTTCAATTTTCTTTATAGAGTGTACCATGTATCAATGTTTTATTACAGTAGTTCTTTGCCAGAAAATTTAAGAATAAAATCAGAAAGCAGGTGTTCTACTTTGTAGATTAAGGCCAGTGCTCTTCTCTCATGAATGTAACCTTTTCTTTTTGTGTTACTTTTCCAAATATTCCTATTACACTCATTTCCCCTGCACAGAGAGGCTGACTGCTTCCATGCTGTTCCCAACCCCTTTTAACTAGAAAACCGATGAAGCGGGTGCTACTGTAGCGTGTGCCAGGAGCCCTCAACAGTCAGGTCAGTTCTCAGTGTTTGTGCTTGCCAGGGATAACTAGAAACTCACTGACTGTTTTCAACATCTGATTTTGATAGTTTTCCCTTCCCATCCCTTTTTCTTGAAAGAAAAAACCTCTAACAAACTTTGGACTAAAATAAGCTTACTTCAATGTATTAGAAATCTCTTTGGTTAGTCAGTGATGATTTAAGTGCATCTCAGTTTTGTATTCCTAGGTTTAACACACTTGAAGATGTCTTTTTTTTGTGTGTGTGTGGATATTTTTTTTTTCTCTCTTCAAGGCATAGTGGAAGAACTGATAATCCTAACTAGAAGACAAGAGAAAGCATCTAAACTGCAGTTCTGTGACATTTATTGCTTGTTTTTCTGCAAATGGAACAAATCTAGTGTTGAAAGCTTGATGCTTATGATTATGGATGTGGTTTAATGTACTTGTGCCTTGATACAAATACAATGTGCAAATGGTTATGTTTTGGTTTTGTTTGTTTTTTTCTTTTTTTTTTTTTTTTTAATTTCCTCCTGTGCCTGTTGTAGGGATGGCTAGAGCTAATCCCGTATCAAGAAGTTTGCACAGAAAAATTATCTTCTCTGTCCAATTAAGGGAAAAAGAAAAGGAGGGGGGGAAAAAAGTGAAAGACCAGTTTATTTTTTTGAGGTTCTAGGGTGAGTCTATGTGTCTGTCTTTGTACGTTAACTTTTGGTAACCTGATTTCACAAAACATAAAACCTATGAATTGGCAATCAAGTTGGATTTTGAAAGAGGATATCACATTAATTTTATATTGAAGTATTGTAGGATTCATGTGGACACACCTACTATTCAGTAGTTTGGCAGACCCTCTCTCTCTCTTTTTTTTTTTTTTCCCCCTAGCCTTTTTGAATGTGGCCTTTTTCTCCTTCCCAGCAACTCCCAGTATAATATACATCAATGTAAAAGACTGCTTGGTGGGCAGGTGGGCTTACTATTTTTGGTGGTTACACAGTACAAGAATAAGTGAACCTGGCAAGGGTTAAGTTGGATTACTAGACAGATTTTGAGGGCTCCTCGGTTTTCTTGTGAGCAAATGTTTCCTTTCTGTCCTTTCAACTAAAGAAAATACATAAGGCATGATTTTTATGTGTCCTGTTTAAATATTGGTGTTCTAACACTCAGCTCTTTTTTGGCCATGATTTTTTTTCTGAATAGCTTGGTGCAAGACCCAGGAAAAATTTGACTCCACCACTCTTCTGCTTAGAGACTTCTTAAAAACATACTTAGTGCTAGAGAATGGAATAATTTGGAAAGGATGAAAACCCAAGTGCCTTCTGTCCCTTGCCAAACTTTATGACCTGTACCAAGAGCAATTTACTGGTGCAGTTTACATATCAGAGTGCTGCTGGTCTAAGCAGGATTAGCATATGGCAATAATGAGACGTTTCTAGATGGTCGGAGGAACTCTTGGGCTTCACAGAGATCATCCGCCCATCTCTGATGGGGAAACTCTTCCCACGTATTAATATTTTGAACTTTGCTTGCCCCAGCGCATTACAGAATTCTTTCCTACCAGCCAGTATTTCTTTCTTCTTATAGCCCAAACTAATGGCGCATCGAGTGGAGCTACTATCAGAAAAGAGTCCATCGGGACTCCTGCCTCATCTGTTCTCTTGAAAGTACCTTTCCCAGTGGACCTCCCAGGTTGCCAGGCACCCGGGGATGACTGGTGGATACAGGTAAATCTAGCTGGTAGCAAGTTGCCAAATATTTTTTGGTCAGTTTCTGTATCTTGATGTTTTAAATATCAGTTGTTCTTCCAGCTTGCCGGAAGAGAACTATCCGGCATAGTGATAAAGAGATCGTGTGGAATTTGTGTTATTCCCAAGTGCTATAATTCCAAGACTTCTATTCCCCTTGTCTTCCACTAGGCATTTTAGTGCATTTCAGGGACGGTCGCAGAATCGCTGGTGAAGTAGCATCAGACGGGCACTACCCACCCCGGGTGCTGTGCTGTTATGCCAGATTCTGATGTGCGTCTATGTAGTCGCTTAATATGAAATAGCCATGTTTCCATGACCTTTAATGAGCAAATTTGTGGGGTAAAATGAATGTGCCTTGTTCTCAAAATACAGACAAACTTAACATCTGTTAACTTCAGTTGAATGCTTATTTCTAAAGCACTTACCTGGGAGTCCCTGCAATATTTTAATTGTCTGCCATTTGGCTGGCTGCCTGACAATGTCTAACTTGGTTATTTTTTTATATAGAAGGGGCAGTCATCCAAGTAGTCGAGTTACAGAAACCATGTGAAGTGTTGTCTACTTCTGCTGATGTAGTTGGCTGAACACACCAGAGTGTGCTAAGATTGGAAACTGAGAACTGAGATTTTCCTGTTCGTGTTTCATTTCAACCAGTTCTGGCAATGACTGAATTACACTGAGAACGCTGTTTGTGACTCCACTTGTGCCGGTACTGTCAAGGTCTCCGGTACGTAACCTAAGACTCTTCCTCCAACAGAGCAGAGCTGTTTTACTGTTTGATTCTAACCTTTAATGAACTTTAAGATGCTGTCATCTGCTGCCTCTCATTTATAAAAATTAAGGGTGGTTCTTTTCTTCATCATAATATGGCTTATGTGCATCTCATTCAATTATCAGAAACACA